AAAATTTCAGGAGAATTCAGAAAATTTTTTGGAGACTTTTCATTGTTAGGAATGTTTAGGAGCGCTACAAACCCAGCACAAAGAAATAAACCCAGCACAAAGAAATAAACCCAGCACAAAGAAATAAACCCAGCACAAAGAAATAAACCCAGCACAAAGAAATAAACCCAGCATCGTATTCAAATAACAAAACGAAAAAGTAACGGTAAAAACACATTCAGAATAGACTACACACACACACACACACACTCACACACACTCACACTCTCACACACACACACACTCACACTCACACACACACACTCTCACACACACACACACTCTCACACACACACACTCACACACACACACACACACACACGCGCACACACACACACACGCACACACACGCACACACTCTCTCACACACACACACACACACACACACACACATATACATATAGATATATATATCGGTCACTTGCTTCTTTATAAACATTATTGTTAGATTTATAACTATTTTATACAATTTTGGTATTTATGGAATCTTACTAATAAGATTACAAAGAAACTTGTGTGTGTGTGGTAACGCTAACTCTCTTTGTATTCTTGTTAGTCAGATTCTTCTTAAAAGGATCCGCCCATGCACAAGGAGCATTCAATGTATGATTTTTGTATTGCTTGATAAAAGAAATATCTCAATGAAATAGCCTCCTGGACCTTTTAGAGCACAAAACAGTCTGTATGCAGAATTCATTGTAATAACACATGCAATACATCAATACAATGTACATTCTTTGCCTTTAAAAACAAATAATTAGTTTTACATTTCTGGCACGAAAATCGGACATAAACGCAAGAAGAGCCATTGCCATGCATGTACGTGTAGGGTGCTATTTTTAAACGCAAAGTAAGATAAATACCAACTCTATGTGTTTTTGGATAGTCCTGGCTGCTAAGCTAATGTACTTATAAAAAAACGTATAATCTGAACAATAATATTATATTTAATTTTCTTTAGTCTAGAGCAGTGATGCCCAACCTAATTCGACCTGCGGGCCATTTTTAATTTCCGACACTCGAGTCGCCGGCCACATGAACGAAAAGGTACAAAAACGAATTGAAATTGACTTGAATTTGAAACTATTTGATTTGAATTCATTAGAACTAGTACTTACATTAATGAATTAAACAATTGAAGCATATCCCCTTTTTTTACGCTCCAGAAAATGGCTTGATTTTTGTCCTAAAAAATGAGCGACGTTGTAGCTAGCAGTAAATATTCCCATCGATTCTCCAATCTGTAGGCGTAGTTAAACTATCTTTTATTCGCGATCAAATCAAAAATGTCGCCATATTTGTTTTATAATGCTGTTTACTTGTTTATCCTTTTAAAACAGTTTTTTTTTTTACAAATCAAATATGTTGGCTTTATATCATGTTCCACAAAAGTAAAGATCCGCTCAATTTTTATGGTAGATTCTACATTCAGAGTCCAATTTAATGAGCGTACAAATATTAAAGGTCATGGTATAAATAAATTAAAGAAAAAATGAGGGCCTTAACATAGGTAAAGATACATTTGACAGGATTTTTTTTTTTTTGGAAGTGGGATCTTCTTCACTTTATTCCAAAATTTTGTCGTGCCGGATGGAACCATGTCGCGTACCGGATCTAGCCCGCGTGCTGTATTTTGAGCATCACTGGTCTAGAGAATCATGATTTATATATATACATATCTGTTTCAGTCTGCAGTGCTTCCTGTGGAGATGTAAATGGCTGCTATATGAAAGAAGGCTTCTGATTAATTGCCTGGCGCTCATGAAATGAAACCCAGCTAGTGTTCAAATGTAATATCAATTCACACAGTCTACAGTATTAAATTGTTATTTATTCAGCTTTACATTGATTTTAAACGCTCTTGAACTGCAGTGCAATAGTTGTTATCCATTCTAAGCTTGGATATGAAAGGCACAGATCTGCTGTTACTTTTAAGTGGGTTGGGGAAGAGTGTCTGTCTATTGGTCATGTGGGCAGAAAATCGACCATTCCGCTGTTTTTTCTCTACGTTTCTACCAACATAGAAGAGAATGGCCACTACACTGTTTCTGAGCTTAAATAGTGTCAATGCTTGCGTAGTCCAGGTACTTTGGACATTGCCCCTACGTCAATATGTAGCACGTAGGAAGGCAAACATTTTCTTGGTTTAGGATTTGATCATATTTGAAGGCGAAATTTTTCTTTGCTTACTATTTACTAATATTTAAAAACAAATGTTTCCTTTGTTTAGTATTTGATAACATTTGAAGGCAAATGTTTTCTTTCATTAGTATTTACTAATATTTGAATGCAAACATTTTCTTTGTTTAGGATTTAATCATGCTTGAAGCAGATATTTTCTTGAAGAATTTGAGTTTGTTCTTCTCATTGCTTGCTTTATAAAATAAAATAAAAAAAACACTCTTTGCAAATATTAAATGTAGTTGTTTGTTGTTGTTGCTTGAAATATATTTGAATGTAATTTTTTAAATCTCATTTGTCTATAAAATATATTGGTCCATAATAGGCAATTCATTAGATATCAAAATGTCTTTCATTTGATGAACTCATTCTTACCATGCTAAACCAAAAAAATATTCTTTTAAAAATATTTGATATGTAAAGATTCATGTAACAACCTTTGCCTGCCGACGGTATCATTTCCTTACCCGGAGACTTTTTAGGACTTGTTATGCTGTTATAAAATGTCTATGATAGAAATAATATAAGCCAGTCACAGTGGTTTTCAGCCAGCGGGTCGCTGAAAAAAACATCAGAAGTATTGTTTTTAATAAATTCACAGTTATTTTTTTTTTACTATAATTATTATTGTCAGTCTAAGTTAGAAGTTGCAGGTAACTGAGTTGCAATGGTTCTAAACATTTTAAGTATCGCAGCATAAGTATCTCATATTATTTGAGGTATATAAATGATGGTGATTTAAAAATCGATTTTCACTTTGTCCGTAATGTGTGTATTTGTGTATTCTATAATTTATCTCCCTTAGTTAAGACAAAGGTACATGCTCTTACAGGACGAAACTCAACTTAAAAAATAAACTAGCTTCTCTAGGGTTAAGTTTTGGTTATCGGCCGCTGGACGGGTTACCAACGACACAATAGACGCTGCAGCAGTGCGACACACAGCAGCTTGATAACTAGTCACACCTTCCCCCCCCCCTCCCCTAACGTAGGATACGCACCGCCCTAGGAATAGTGCCGCACAGGCTGGGCAGAGACGTATTGGTTTGAGTCCCTACTTACTCGGTAGGCAACAACCATAAATCTTACCAGACTCCTGACATCTCCGTGTATAGATACATGTGAGAAAATCCCCTAGCTTTCTTTCCCACCCGTTCAACAAAAAGTCCCATCTTTATATAGAGAGAGACCAAAGCATTACAACCAAGCAGTCTCCTCTGACTGAGTTTGATTCTTGATGTTTCATTAGGGATAAACGGGTAAGTCTAAATACCTTTAATAATATGTATTTTATTTGACAGGAATGTGTGTGTACACAGCCACGCTCCCTGTTATTGCATTATAATATTTTTTACATTATTATATACGTACATTGTATTATTTTATATCGATGCTATATCTTCATAGAGTATTATATGATTGCAACTAAGGTTATCTATATTTGAAACCATAGTTATAGGTCTATATTCCTTTATTATATTTAATCTGTTATATTTTACGCACATCTTAATCTTAATAATTATTCTGAACTATACCGTTTCTTGAGTCTAAATACTGTCTTAGAACTTACATCACCGTGTGCTCTAAACTTTCAGAGCGCGTGTGAAATTAATTATTTTACATTTCTATTATGTCCTTCATAAATATTGTTACGAATCTCACTATCCAGGCTCTCTGCAAACTGCACCATACACCAACAACGTAAAGAACTTGACAACTCAGGGCTCCAGAGTAACGTGACACTTTAATAGTTGAATAAATAACAGCCAATACTGTACAATTGGCAACACGTACACTACAAATATCTCTCCGATAACACAGTACCGCCGTATCAACTCTTGCACTGCCTCCGTCTCGTTCCGGGCTTGCACTGGGTTCAACAGTTCAGGACTGACTTCACACACGAAGCTCGTTGTGTCGGACTCGATCACAGACTAAGATCAAGACGCCAGTCGTCTCAACTGTACTTGACAGTACTCCGCACTAAACCGTCGTAATGCTCCGTACAGAACCACACCGCTGAACTGTGCTGTAGTCGACCGGACTGTAGTGAACCGGGCTCTGAACCGTCTTGACTGGACACCTCCGCTCTTTATATAGGGTCCCTACTGGCCTTCTAGAACCGGACGGAACATCGCTCGACATTTCTAGCTTCGTCACATGACTACATCTCTCGTGACGCCCCTGAGCTCTGTTCACGACGATGATCCTTCCCGAACCGTCCTGTTGACACTCGACTCGGCTGACCGTCGTAACTCAGTCACGGTTGACCGCTCGTCTAGCGCTGGCCTGGGGCGATTTACGTCGGCTGACTACACTCACACCACCCCTCTCTGTGCCACCACCAGGTTTATAACAATATTATTATGTCTCACACCCTTGTGAACTTATGGTTTCTTGGATGAATATGATTTTATTGAACATATCAAACCTTTCTCAGTGTGGATCGGTCCCTAGCATTTTATGTTCGCCTTATCCTGTACTTTAGTGTACTATGCTCATTCCCCATTTTTACTTTAACTCATTACTTATCGACGTAATCATATTCAATGGATGAATCTTGACTAGTATCATCCTCCATTGTATGATAACACATTCATTGTTGATAACTCCCTTGTATTTTGTTTATCATTGAGTATTGCATACTTTAAGATTTCATGCCTAATCGACCCTTATCTTCGGACTTGAAGAAAATTTTTTATTCTACTTTTATATATTTAGTTCTCATAAAGAAACAAATATTGATTTCAAACATAAAAAAAAAAAAAATTGTCTAGCGAGTGAAAAATTCCCTTAGAACTTTATTGGACCTTTATGTACTTTCCTTTCACTGAAAAGCTTCAAGACAAAATAATATTAAAAGATATGTTGATAAGATCATTTACAACAATATATATATGTATAACATTTATTGAATACTACAAAAATTATGTATTGGTTATATTACAATGTGTTTAAAAACAAATTAAACCTATGCATTCTATACTTAGACTAAGCACACATACACACACACACACACAAGTGAAACATCGATATGTTGACTTATAAGTATTAAGTCAAGGGAGACAATCACCTAAAAAAAAAAAAGTTATCTTTGTGTCGTCTTATTACAATTCTTTTTTTCTTCTTTTTTTTAAGGCTCATAATATGACGTCACACAGGTCAAGAAAATAAAAGGAAACAATCTTTTTAGAAATATAATTCTTGGTATTATTGTCATATTCAACTAATTTTTGCAAAGATTGATACGTGATTTTCCGTGATTTACTCTGGGAATCAAAGTATGTAAAATGTAACCTAACTTACACTGTTTACATGTTTTGAGAAAAAAATAGTTGTTTGTCACCTGTCAGGCGTGAGAAGTTAGCCAAAATATACTAGTTTCTAAATACAAAAAAAAGATCAATTTTCAAATATTTTTAACCTACAATAACATTGCGATAGTTCTCTTCTGATGCTTTAGGTAAGGGTTTGAAAGTTTTTTTAATGTTAACCCAATGATATGGCTTAGGACAGCTGAATCAATCAGTCCAAGCAAATAATTGCTTAACTCTATCAAGTCCAAACAATCCGACTAAACTCTAGCAAGTACAAGTAAACAATTAGACTTTACAAAATGAGAGCTGAATAAAACAATTGAAATACGACTATTTACATGGCAGCAATAACTCCAAGGAACAGTCTCAATGTGTCTGGTTGAGTCGAGAGTTTTTACAATGAGACTTTATCTTCCGTTCTACAACTGTATTTCTATGTGTGTGGTTTGAACTTTGAACAACACACTCTAACAAAGGAAATAAACTTTTACTTGCATGCAGATCTAGATCCACTTTTGTTTATTTTGGTCAATGTTAGACACACGACAAGAGGATGTAAGAACTAGAAGTAATGGAGTAGATGTACAAACATTTTCAGACAATCCTTTTCACTATTTCAGACAATCCTTTTCACTATTTCAGACAATCCCATACAGCTTCGTGCAATTATTTCTATTAACACATCTCATTTCTATTGGACAATACTTTCACTATCTACGACAATCTTTCATTTTCTGTAGACAACCCATTTATCACAGACAGCCTATTATTTGTTGCTAACTACCCATTCAATTTTCTAAGACTTAAATACACGTGGAGACTTTAGTATATGAAGGCACATCTATAAATAACTTTGTTGCTTTATTTGCTGTTCATAAAACGGAAGTATTGATATACTAAGTATTTTTCTTTTATAAACAATATACTAATTAGTGTCCATTCGTTAACACTATACTGTTTATGTGATTTCTCTTGCCACAAACTAATGTTATTCTTTAATTGGCAACAATGATCTTTCAATGTGGGCTTGATAACATTGGCTGACTTTGTCTTATTTAGACATTTTTCGCAACTTCATTTTCTTAGATTTTTCTTTAATTTCCATTATATCGCCACCATATTTCTTCATAGTGCTTTCTCTTCTTTTTATCTTATTGATTTTATTGCTTAAAGAACGTAAACGGGATCTTAGCCATACAAAGTGGAAACAAAAGGACAGATTACTGTTTTTAACTGTTAGTGTAAACATCAATAAGCAAAGGCCATATATATGTAGTCCTTGCATTCCATAGGTAACAGACACTTTGCTTTGAATGTTCCTGTGCCAAGTTTCTGGTCTGCTCAGGAATACAATAAATGCAGTAACTGTCTCTCATTGTTACCAGATGGACTCATTTAACCAGGCCATGTCACCTTAGGGATGACTGCGTTCTGATATATTTACTATTGATGTAGGCCACTTCTGCTTGAGTTACCATCTTTGGAATCCAGTGGTTTCGGCCTTCATTGCGCATCCAGAATTTTCGGAATCCTAGTGATTGAAACCGAATATAATCTTCACTCATCTTCGGGTACCTGTTGGAAGTAATCAAAGTAACAAAAAAAAAATGTTTATTCGATAATTTTTATTGAACTCAATTTCTATGAAGAGCAGACACCAAAAACACCATAGAAAACATTAGGAGGTTATCTCGTTTCAATTAGAATGTAAATCAATTACGATCAAAATTAGTTTCGCATGTAAACAAGTCAAACTACTTGACTAGTTCACGCTAAACAATCTTCAACAGATTCTAACATATAAGCCACAATGCATTAGGAGAAAAAATAACAACATAGAAATACAGAACAAAAACTATTTAGAAACCTGACTTAGAGATAGCTATATATCGGATAAAGAGTATTTTAGGACCAGAGATAGAAACGCCGTGACAGCTGCACTAGAAATATTTATAAACAGTCCGGCACTCAAATGCCTCGTCAAGTTCACATTTAACTAGACGATAGGATTCTATTTACAGAATGGGAGACTACTCACACACACAAGCGGCGGAATAAGTCTTTTTTTTTTTTTTTAAAAAGACGTCAGCCAAGAATTGAGTGTATCAAACATCTTAAATAATAATTTTTAAAAAAGTTATCAGGCTAATAAGGTTACAAAAATAACTTCCGGATAAAAGAGTTCACAACAATGATTCTTACAGAAAGGTCCAAGAGCTCAGGGCAGGTTTGGAGATATATAATATTAAATCTAGCTTTTAGGGGTAACAACATGTCCTTTTCTGCTAGCAAGGCTAACTGCGGGGCCCAATTTAATGGGTGCTTATGAGGTCCTCTGTTCTAATTTCTTAAAAATTCAATAACTATTACTATTAATTAGATCATTGTAACAACATTTGTTTTACAATATGCATTGGAAGCTACTCAAGCGAAATAGGCTCCTGTGGGTTAATTATAGCTACGTCAATAGTAAAGCCTACAATAAATATTGTTACGTATTTCTGAATCTTCTGGCTAAATGTACTAGTAGGCACACAAATAAAAACACTGTAAAGAACTTGACGACTAAACTTTCAGTTTCATAAAACTTTATTGACTATTAACTCTAACAATTCGTCACTGTAACATGTAGCGTAGAAGACTGTGCAATATCTGTCAGTTTACAGTTAGCTATGCTTCGTTGCAATTCATTTCTTCACTTCGTTGCAATTCATCTCTTCTCAACTTGTATCGAGCCGTATTCCACAGAACAGACCAACGACACACTTCCCAGTGTCGCTCGAGGTCTCCCAAAGCTGAATCAAGTCGTACTCAAGTCTACCGAATCAGAGCCGCACACGTCTTACAATCGACTGTATCGACTGTAACGGCTCAATCCCACCGTAGTTCGCTGTATAGACTAACGACAGTAGTCCACTCCAGTTAACTCTACCCTAGTTAACTTGCATCGAGTCGTACACATTTCTCTTCCACTAGAGCCGCACACGTCTTACATCGTCTGTATCGACTGTAACGGCTCACTCACGACTGACTTTCACATTAACTCTCTGGCTTATATAGAGTCCCTAATCGCTCTTCCAAAGTTGCACAAACACTGCTAGCATCATCTGGAATAACACGTGAGGAAACCTCACATCCTGTCTTTGTTTTTACATGTAGATTCCAGAGAACACCTGCTGCAGTGTCATCTTGCCAGGGTCACAAGTTGTGACCTCTATCTGTCACTGGACATTGCTAGTACCTTCTGGAATAACACGTAAGGACACGTCACATCCTGTCTCTGTTTATACATGTACATTCCAGAGAACACCCGCTGCTGTGTTATCTCGTCGGGGTCACACGTTAACCTCTTCCTGTCACTGGTCATTTGTAACAATATGTTAACCATGTTAGTCAAAAGCCTGTGAGAAGAGCCAAAACTGATAGTGATAAGCTTAATGTAAATCGCTGGGCCTTGTCAGGCGCGGTCCCTATTGGATCAGTAGGTCAAATCGGCTTAAGGCCGGCCCTATATGTTCGCTTGTGAGCGTGAGAGGTGAGTAAGAGGCGACTCCATGATTTGGAGCACGTTTTGGCCTAAGACTTTAGGTATGGGTTGATATTTAAGAAATAAAATAATTTGTTTATCTTCCCCTAATACAATAATCATGTGTACACTTCAGCGGGATATATATAGCTCGGAAAACCTTTATGAGAAAGTCATTACAGTTGTATCGCAAGGGAAGTAAGGTATAATGATTGATGAGGACAAACGTTGTACACAATTATTTCCCCTTATATACATATTTAGCAGTACTTACATCTCGTGCGGAGGACTGTCATTGAAAATATGCCACTCAATTAGAACCTGTGGCAACTTCTCGAGTATTCCTTCATCCAAAAGGTTGGTCAAGACTGACCATTCATTACCTTCAATGTCCAACTTGAGTATACTGATTGATGTCTAATCCGAACAAAGAAATTGAAAAAAAAATTCTTTTATCCAACGGATAAAGTATTTCAATTAATTGTTAATTAAAAGATGCTAGATACTAGATATGAACAAATGAATGTATTAATTAGAAAGACAAACTCAGTTTTAATTGAGAAAAAAAATTATTTTGAAAATCCTATCAAATTTACAGATTTTTTTTTTTTGTATAAGGTATACAACGATTTTCTACGCAAGTAACGGTATAGTTTTCGTAATTCAGAACACAATAGCTAGAGCTTCACGCTCTATCGTGGAATATCTCTTCTGCTGCGTTCAGCTTTCTGCTAATGTAGTAGACTGGTCGTAGCGTTGCGTCACACTTCTGCATTAAAGTGCCTCCACTGCTGTGGAGGATGCATCTGTTGCCAAGTAGAAAGGGTTACTGATGTCTGGAAGCTGGAGTACTATGTCGACTGAGAAGGCACTTTTAATGCTTTGTAGGCATTTCTGTAGTCTGGAGCTCCATGTGATCTTGTTTGGCATGCCTTTTTCTAGGTACCAGTTGTTTTTTGTCCGTGATAACAGTTCCACCAGAGTCCGGACCCAATATCTGACCACATGTGAAAGCCAGGAGTTGGACTGGTTGTCAAAGACTATTTCAGACGCATGTCAAGGAAACATTTTATAAGTAGTGGAGTGCTTATGTCCATTACCACTTCCGGCAATAACAACCCTATGGAAAATTATTGCACAGTGATTGTGAAAGAAAGTCTTTGAATTGCATGTTCAATTTCGCAAACCGTTACTAACATGAGTCATATCACATAGCAGCTTATGTGTAACAATGTCAATACAACTTGGTTTTGAAAGAGTCTCCCCAGTGCCCGTGCAACTTTTCAAACAGCTAAACTTAGACGTTTAACTCTTTGACTCTTGCACGAAATGGTGGTGGGGTATATTAGTGGTGCCAGAATTTTGTTTAGTTCGGGTGATGGGGGAGGAGCATAAGAATATCGAAATTATATAGGTCGAATATCGAACCGGCGTGTCACAGGACAATCCAAAGCAAAAAGTCGTCGAGTCAAGAGGTACAGAGTTTCCTTAGCGTCATTAAGATTAGAACTTTCCAGTCTGATATAGTCCTATGGTATTCATCATTTACTTTTGACACTTTATAGCCTCTTATGCCTCAAATGTGATTTCGGTAGATTGCAGCTTGCTCCTGGTTTGTATTTAAGATAAAATGCAATCTTTCTTTTGGTATCGCTGCTACGTTTGTGTGTGTGTGTGTGTTGCAGAGGGTCAAGATGAAAGGAAAAACGCAACGTCCAGTTCCAGCTAGTGACACGTCTACGTGTTTGTGTACATTGATCACTTTTCGTAAAAGTAGTCATGTAGCTGCAGAGCTATGAAAGCCTTAAGAAGATAGTGCACAAATATTTACGAAGATCTAATGATGTACTTAAACGCACTCTTGTTTACAAAGAAAGATTGTAGTCGCGTGCAGTAAGCCGTGTGACGTCAGTACTATAAAATAAAAATGTTTTCTTTCCTTTTAACGTCAGTTCATTCATAAAGAATCGCTTCATGGTCTTACGAGAAATGATCCTTTTAAAATTTTATAGGTCAAACTGAGTTTTGCTGCAAAAGCTGCAATATAAAATCAAACCGGCTGGCTCTACTACAGAAACAGCAAATGAGCTT